TTATTCGCCATCTTCCATGACAGAATGCACTGGAAAGGTGCTGGAGTCAGAGGCGGATTCGCACTCCAGCACAGCCTTGGTACTTTCATTGCTGATGGGAGAACTGCTGGAAAGGGAAACCAAGCCAGAATCTTGACTACTGGGTGGTGAAAATACTAAAGGAGCAATGGGATAAAGGGGGAGGAGAAAGAAAAAAAGGGAATGCCAAGTTTAATGACATGGAATAATAATATTGCTCAGGCCATATGGCTGTTTTATTAAAATCAAGAGGTCTTCGTGTCTGCTTAAGGCTTGAAAGAATAGGAGTTTTCCTTAACGTTTTTAAAAAGTGGACTGTAGTTAAAAAGCACATGATATAACCAAAATGTAGACATAAAACAATTGCATTACAGAACAGCAGTAGCATCAGTAAACAGAAACACACTGACCTAAAAATGACACATGCATCATATCATGACACAAACAATGCAATTTTCTGATGTCATAAAGTCTTGCACAGGTACCAAATTTATAATGTTTGTCCTGACACATAACACAGGACCTCCTTGCCTCCAGGCAGATGTCAGTGACAGTACGATTTAACCAATCAATACATTTCAGAACGTTAACATCAATGTTGAGACACATTAGATGGCAATTAGATGGCAGACCAATATTCCAGGATTATCTATTTTGCATTCAATTTGAGAAAAAGCCACCTAAGTTATCACCAACTTAGCAGCTTTTGATGGTGGAAGCACTCCAGATAAGGAAAATCACATAAATTATGTTCATACAAAAGGTATGAAAACTTACAGACAGTTCTTGACTTGCAACCATAATTGAGAATTTCAGTTGTTAAGCAAGACAGTTAAGTGAGTCACATCCAATTTTATGACCTTTTTTTTGCCATGGTTGTTATGAGCAAATCTCTTGCAGTTCAGTTAATAACACAATTGTTAAGCGAATCTGGATTCCCCCATTGGCTCTGCTGGTGGAGGAGACAATGGGGAGGAATGCCTTTTCAATTTCCCAACAGAGACTATGGTTCTGATATTTCCTGGTTTCTTCAACCCATGTACCAGCCACATTTAACACCTTTGACAAGAGGCTGCCTCTTGCTTAGGCAGAAAAAAAAAGCACAAATCCTTTGGGGTCTTATTCAAAGGTACTGGGAACTCACCTTGAAAAAAGGTAGCAATTCCTGTTCTTATGGGGCAGGAGTCAGTTGTCAGGATTCCCCTCATTTAAATCTTGAGTCTCAAGCCAAACTTCCAAAACTTAAAAAGGATTTATTGGGAGTTACCATGCCGGCACTCCTTGGGTGTAGCCAACTCTGAGACACACAAATCATTGTCACCCTTGACCCTGATTTCCCTCCCCCCACCCCCTGGTTGTATCGTAATTCATATTTTCCAATACGACACATCCATAGCCAAGAATCATCAATCATGCTCTCCAGTTAGAATTTTGTGCGGCAGAAACATCAGTCACCTAGTTACTATCTTTGAAAACATTTGTGGAATGTTTCGGTTTTGCTACGCTGCTCCCTTTTCTGTTGGCAACTCTAAAAACACCAGAGAAATATTTTATGAGTTGACATCAACTTTACTTCAACTCCATTTGGACTGACACTGCTACATGTTTTTGAAAGGGCTCCAATAATAGGCACATCACAAAGAAAACTCAAACAATAACTCAGCAGTTGAATTCCTAATTGCTTTTAAAGGCCCAGAAAAAGGTGGCAACTCAAATGGGAATCAGAGATGAGTTCCTTTGTTTATGTGCATTTTGCTAATATGGAGTCTTTATGCAACTGAAGAAACTGCTGCACACACACGCACACACACGCAAAATTCAGTTTGGACTACTGAATATAATTCAGGGAGAAGCCATGCTTATTCTATCAACATATGGTCCCAAATTCTATAAAAGTATAAGAAACAGCATTAGCAATTATAACGAGATTGAAACTGGAGATATATTTTGCACGGGGGGGGGGGGGGAAGTACTCCCAGAAGTACTAAATTCTAGTTGTCGGCAACTGTCTCTCCCCCAACTAAGTGACTGCCTCTTTCTTGGAGGCCCAACAGTAGTGCTGTACTGAATTTGTTTTTCAATTTCTCAAGAGTTTTCCTTCCATGCAAGGAACATTCTCTGTTTTTCTTCTATCTTATCCTCGAAGTGCTTGGCAAAGGCTGCAACTGCTGATCTTACTTTCTCTTATCTTCCCATCACACTTCCTTGTCTGAAAAAGCCCATAAGGAGTTCTCTCTTGGCATCTCCCCTTGAGATATAGCAAAGTGTGGACGCCAAGAAGGTTACCAATTCCTGGACAGATGACTGCATCGTGAAAGACAGGGGACGCAGCTGCCTTAGCTACCTTACATTCCACTCAATTTAGAGATTCAGTCAAGTGCTCTTCTTTGAAAAGCAAACTCAAAATTAAATTCTTTTCCATCAAATTGAGAATTGTTGGAGGGGGGGGAATCTCTTTTCCTGCTCAGTATTTTCTTCGAGGGGTGGGGACGGGATATGCCCCTAAGTCAGTGCTGATTCCTGGCTACTGGAGAAGTCCCTGCAGTTTTCTTGGCAACACTGACAGAAGAGAAGTAAACATATATACACAGCCCACCAAATTATAAGCAAAACTTCTATGCGGGGCCATCTTAACAGCATTATGGGCCCCAGCAAAGCAGTGTACTGGGGCCCTATGACAACTACTCACAGGAATAAAAATGTAAATGGTAGATAGAATTAAACATATATTTATTTTATTGGCACTTCCAACAAATAAATATGTTGCTGTATTTATATGATACAAGGTGCATTGAAGGGTTAACATACACAGGTTAGTATGGGGCCCCTATGCTCGTGGGACCCACAGGCAATGCCCATCAGGCCCATGCGTTAAGGGGTATGAAAGTCATAACTGGATGTCCAATTCTGTTATCTAAGCCTCTGGTGTTACTTCATGCAGATCTTCTAGGGAATCAGAGAATGCACGTCATGGGCAATCTTACACAATATGTTTAATACTTTACATATCAGCACCACAATCACAACAAGGATAATCTTTTCATCCCCACTTCTTCCAGTATCACACCTAATTCTGTTCAATTTCAACCAGACGAAACGAGGCAGGTCAAAACCAGATGGTTTGATAGAGAGATCATTAATGATCAGGCCACAAAAAGGAATCTTGGACCATTCCACTCTCCAGGCATTCGGGGGGGTTAAACTGGATATATTTTAAGTGAATATATAGCTGTTTTTCCAAGCTGGCCTGGATTTCAATCTTGTGATGGGTTCTGAGAAAGTGATTGGGATATAAACACTTGTAAATAAATAAATGAGTAAAACAGACTCCTAATCCAAGAGGTTGCCCATCTCTGGCCAGAGGAAGGTGTCCCAATTTTGGTGGCCCCATACAGAAGGGATGCAATAAATATAGAAGGTGGCATATTGTTGTGGTTAGCCGGCAGCAGGTTCAGATGGCTAAGGAGAGGGATGACTCTGATGAGAGGCCAGGAGCATCAGGGAGTGGACTGCTGCCTTCAGAGTTTGTGGGGGCTGGCAGCAGTGACGAAGAGCCTGGGCCAAGTGCACATGCATGAAGGATTACTCGGAGGAAAGAACAATTACAGCAGCACAGGCGACTCAGGAATAAGGCTGCAAGGTAATGGCCCCTCCCCCAAGAGGTTAAAAAGCAGGTTTAAAAAAGCGTTCTTTGTAGAAAGCAAAGAAGCTCTGAAGCTCAACTGGTGGACATATTAGTTCGTGTTTGGATAATTCTGTAAATTAGTTCTTATCTCTGGGTTTTTGCCAGCCTTGACAAACAACTTGGAAAGCCACTTTCTTGTTGGAGCTAATTGTTGGAAAGCAGCCTTTTATCTGTAAAGAAACAGAACTGTGATTAAACCTTAAAAGGTGGGAGCTGCTGCCTTTGTCTGTGTTTGCTCTCTGGGAACCTAGTTGGTCAGAACACATATACAGCAAGATATAGGCCCCAAATCACTGAAGAACTAATGTTACACCAAAGGAAGTGCTCAGGTTCCGGAACAATAAACAGCAAAAGATCAAAGCAAACTTTTAAACAGTTTAAAAGTTAATATAGTGGAATAAGTATTTGCAACATTTCAATCTCTGCTCGATACAAAACACGAAATGGAAGGGTCTCTGACCCCATTCACCTTTGATGAGTCAAGTTTCACCCACAGCACTCCTTTCCCGCCTAGCCTGGATGTAATTAAGGAGAAGCTGCAGTGGTAATTTCTCTCCTCATTAACTTCCTGATTGGTTTGAGCCTCGGATTTCCACCAGGCCTCCCGTTTGTCATCATCAAATCCAAATTGCCAATCGTTAAGACTAATGTTTGTGTAACTAAGTGCCAACATCTGCCATGGCTTCTTGTACAACAATAATAGTGAAAGGGTAACATTGATGCTCCTATGTTAATTCTGCATATATTCATCAATGGGGAAATCTATGATATAATTAGCAAAATGCTTTGGTCGACAAGTATGCTAGATTCATTTGCAGAAGAAAATGTGTTGCAGTCATTCTGTTTTGAGTGGTTATAATTTAGTGGGGAACTATACCCAATGAATTTCTTTCAAGTGGACTATGGAGTCATCCTCCTTTCCTTGACTCCATTGATTTAAACTTCCTACTTTTATTGCTTTCAAGAAAGAGAAAAACGTACCAATGAAATCTTTTACAATCAATGTTATTAAATAATTGAAGGCCATGATATTTTTTATAATTCTAATATTTTGAGAGTCAGTTTGATGTAGTAATTAAAGTACCAGGCTAAAGATTGGGAGACTGGGAGTTCTAGTCCTGCTTTAGGCAGAAAGCCAGCTGAGTGACCTTGGACCGGTCTCTTTCTTTCAGCCCCAGGAAAGAGGCAATGGTAAACCACTTGAAATCTTGTCAAGAAAAACTGTAGGGACTAGTCCAGGAAGTTGTCAGGAGTTGAAAACTGTTTTGAACCGAACCAAACCGAACCAAACCATAGCAACAACAGAACCTCACACTTTTCTTAATAACAAATATCACAATAAATAAAAACTATTCACCATTAATTTTATTATATTTTTATTGAAAGTAATAGGTCCTTGTGCCTAGGCTAAGAATACCAATCCACATTCAATTATTTACAGTTCTTTAAGAA